TTTTTTTTTTTTTTTTTTTTTTTTTTTTTCACGTAGACCCGTCGCTGGAATTTATTCGTTGGTTCAAATTTATCGCGGTAATTGTATTGACCGCGATAACGTTTGTAATTTTCATTCGGCCTGAATACCGAAAAATAAAATATGTCGAAAGGGGTGGAAGCAGAATAGGGGGAGACGCTTGTGGGTACACGCATCGATTTCGATACGATTCGACGATTCTACGTTCTATGCTCTGTGATATTTTAAGCCTGAAAATTCGAAATGGTTATTTATTCTAGATTAATCTGTCGTTATTATAATATTTTTCCATATTTCGTTACGTTCGATTTTTGGATCATTTTCGGAATAATCGAACGTATAAAATCATTCGGGTTTTAATTACTATTGTATATTTTGGTAAATAATATTTGTAAAACAATTGCAATTTATTATATTATTTTATAATGAAAAATTTAAATATTTTTTTCGTATGATATGTACATTTCCAATTAAGATATCTGTAACCAATTGAGACAGTAATTATTCGTTCATTATTTGTCCATCTCTTTCTATAAATAACTTCGACAAATTTTTATCTTTTAAACCTTTTTATTTTCTATCATTATATTCTCTTTCCAATATACGTTTTTAAAATAATTATACTGCTTCCAGATCTCTCTCAAAATTCATATATATATATATAGTGAACTTTTACTTTCTTTACTTCTTATATAACTTCAAATATTGGAACGTATCGTGAAAAAATGTAAAAAGATGTTAAATAAGATATTTTAATTAAAAGAAGGACGGAATAATAACGCGAACGAAATGAATTGTTATCGGGGGTAGGCAAAAAAAAACTTTAGAAATCTGTAAGAAGGAATATACATATCGTATATTTCCAACTAAAATTAATATATATTCCTCCGGCGAAAAACGTGGTGCGACACGGGTAATGGAGACCGCGTGGGCGTTTGCATTGGTTCACTTCTCGTACGTATATAGATCCTATCTATTGAGTCCTGTGAATAGCACGGTTACATTGTCGTAAAGCGTGAACCGGTCTCTGTCTCTTAACGTGCACCTATATATCCCCGGCTATTGATACCTATATCTACCTGCCTATCCTCCTTCCTACTCTCCCCCCTCTCCTCTCTTTCTCTCACCATCGTTTTATATATACATATATATATATATATATATATATATATATATACTCTGTCCAGGGTGTTTCTCGAGCGGCCGAAAAGAGCGGACAACGGAGGGCGTTATCCGTGTCTGAGCAGTGATTTCAGCGTAGAATATGAGTATACTGGCGAGGATAATAAAACAAGATTTCTTTTTCCACCCGGAACATGGTGGACACGATCAGGATAATGGACGCCACGTGGGTGTCTAAACTGGATCGGGTCCACGGTTATACGTATTCCTCCTCTGGAAAGCGTTTCAAACGTTCGTCGTAAAGAACGAACCGGTCCCTTCTGTGCCTTGTACTTACCTAACCGCGTGCACTTGTGGATCTAAGTACTTTAACGTACGTGTACGCATACCTACAGCTATTAATACGTACAAGCATCTCTGCACGCTCTGCTTTTTCCTTTCCTTTTTTTTTTTTTTTTTTTCTTTCTTTCTTTCTTTACTACTCTCTTTTCCCGCGCTCGTTTCTTTACTCCTCGTTTCTTTTTTCCCCTCCTTTCCCTTTTTTCTCTTCTTCTTCTTCTTCTTCTTCTTCTTCTTCTTGTTTTTTGTATTTATTTCCACAGGTTTCTTCGTTACCCTTCCATATATTCCCTTTTCTATTTATTCGAGCGGAGCGGAGGCAAAGCAACGATTCATCGAGCGAGTGGAGAGATCGTGAAAAATAATCGAGAACACTCGCCGCTTATGAAATCCCGATAGTAACCCGATAATTCTCGCGGTACTATGAATAAAATCGCATCTATTCGAGGCAACGAACGATTTTCTAAACCTCCCACCCGTCCACCCTGTCCTCCCGTTTTTCACCCACCCCCATTGTCAGATTCTCCTGGTGCGAGGATTTTTTTTTTT